TTTTTTTTTTTTTTTTTTTTTAGAAATTATTGATCATTTAAACGTTCTATCAAATATCAAACCAATTTATGAACTATTATTATGTCATTCTTTTCTTATTTCTACTCATAAGATATACTGGTAGCTTTTGATAAAAAAAAAAAAAAAGCTTAGGACATCGTGTACACGTAGTATCCGTCTCCGATCATTACAGAGTTTCCTACATTTGAAATAGCAATTCCTCTTGTGAATGAAATGCACAGTAAACACTTGATAAATATATTGCGCATAAAACGAGAAGAACGAATTACGATTCTAGATCGAAGCTCGATGCTTAAACATTATTAGATATATTCAAAACAGCTCGGAATAATCTAATTTAATCTTCCAGCATTTTTTTTTTTTAATTATTCGATCGTTCAATGATAATCAATCATCTTTTGATGAACCTTCTGAACTCCTCGACGACTTTTGCAATTCATAACACGCCTCTCTTGTTCTAACGCGTTCATGTTTTTCATGTTTAATTTTCAACATACAAATACCCTGACAGGATTACAGTAATTCGATTTAATGTTTAGCATATCATCGAGAATCGTAATATCGCACGTTACTTGGTTACTCGCATTAACATACTGTTTTTCCTCTGTAGACGCGCAATGTCCGATAACAAGATGGTCAACGAACTTTCACGTTTCACGCATGCACTCGTTTTACAAGTAAATAGATATCGCGACATTAGAACAATCGTTTTACACGTGAAATAAAAATTACGTATCTACGCCAGTCTTCCACTTATTCTGCCATTGATAATTGCGTGTTTTTGTGTGTATTAGTTGTTCAGGCGAACGAAATTAGACGAACAACGTCTATCAGTTTTATCAGCTTTGTAGTTTTCTTTGCAAAACGTTAAATATCGTTCAACATTCGGAAAATTACATACATACAGATATATATATATATAAATGTATATATGTATCCATTAAACATTAATTAGACGAGTAGAACATTCTTCGCGTGGCGTATGCTTGTATAATCAAAAGATCTAACAAGGCAGGATGATATTAACATACGAAAAAAACAGGAATATATCTTTTCCATAACATTCTATTATAGTTTCAATATGAAATATACCGCGACGAAATTTCCCTGGCCTGCATGCGATTTATCCGATACCATTTTACATCAATCCTACAATAACGTCACGTCACATCATCGCTGTTAGATTAAACAAAGATATGCGATATTTGACTAATGCAATCGCATCACGATAATGTTAAGACACGTCCGTGTAATAAGGAAACGATACTGCCTCCGGAAATACGTGTTCAATAATAATAATAATGACGACGACGACGATGGTAGTAATAATAATAACAACAACAACAACAATGATAATCATAATCACAATAATAATAACGAGAATAATAATAATAATGAAGAGGCAAGTGATAAATGATGAAAAAAATTCGATGGACAGTTTGAATATTATGAGACTTTCGTGCGATGATATCGGACGATTGTCGATACGCAATCGAGCTGCACCGCTCGTATTGCTTTGATTGAACTCGTCAAAAGTACGAAGAGAATGATTTCATAGACTCTCGGCACTTCCGGGGCCCTCTCTACCACAATGTTAAGCTACATATACACATTTTGATACAAAGTTACTGCAAATTACTGCAAGTTGTTCGAACGAGTACCGTTTGGTGATGGAAGTAGTATCGAGGGCAAGCTTTTTTTTTTCATCAATAGCTACTTTACACGTGGGGCCAGTGAGGACGACGAATATCTTTACGACTTTTTTTTAGTTATTACATACGTTATACACATACGGTCGTGCACTTTAAATACATTTACAATAGCCTATTTATAGCTCAGCGCACTAACTTTTCCCTTATAGATACCACACGATTAGAAACAACAAGAGACAGAGATAGAGAGGAAAGCGCGAGAAAAATAGTCGCACAAGCTCCATTGCTCCGGTTTCTTTTTCTTTTTTTTCGTTTTTTTTTCTTTTTTTTTTTTTTTTTCTTTTCTTTTAGAGATATTTGGTCCGATGCTAAGAGAGAGACTGTTACACTTACACAAGCGTCACGCGTGCGAATGCGTAACAGCATGGGCTTTTCTGAGCCCAAA